CTGTACTACTGACAGTAATTTTTAAGTAGTGTATGATGTCTTCTGCAGAGAATATTGAATAATAAGGTGATGGATTAAGTTTACAAAGAGGAGAAATGAAAACTGCTTGTGAAGCAATACAGAAAGCATGAATAGAAGACAAAACACACAGAATCTGAATTTTCAATTTAATACTTCTGTATTTTGCTGTCACTTTAAATCATTTCAGTGAACAAGCAATTCCGCTATCAATTACGAATCTGTTCTGTCATTACACTATTATTATTATTATTACTAATAATATATTGCGCATGTCCAAATACTTTCTAAATTAAAATCTCTAGTTTATTTAACAACTTTTTTCGCTATACACTTTATGAACATACATTCTTGAATGACATAACACTGAATTAAAGATCCTCTTATCTTTAATTATGTTAAAATGAATTCACCAGAGAATATCTCTGACATTCTCGAAAAAGAACAAACAAACGAACAGTAGGAGATGAAATCCCATGACACAGTGTCATGTGATTCAATGATTTGAAAATGTAGAACATTTAAATACTGAAGTACACTTCTTTATCTTCTTCTTCTTGCAAGAAAGAAAGAAAGAAATGAATAAATCTTATTGAAAATGAATTCACAATAGTAGAAGTTGACTCGATTAAGATTCCCCAACCAAAATAAAAATAAATAGGAATGGTGTTCAATAGTGAAAGACAGGAATGTCTGAACAATAATCTATTGAGTTATTGTCAATAAATCATAAAATCGATCAAAGTAAACTGATCCAGTAAACTTCAGTCTAATAATGGTGAAGATTTTGTATCTCAAGATGGACGTTTTTGATTTGGTTATGATCTCTTAGCTGGTTGGTTTAATTCTGAAGCATTCATTGTCCCCATTTAGACAACACCTTCAGCGGAAAATTTAATATGAATTCGACTTATATGAATTCTCCATTTGAATGATATAACTGTATCTCCTGAGAACTTTTGCAGTAATTGGTTGCTAATCTAAAACTTGACTGTTTTTATAAATAACCTGAAAAGATTTAATTTATTTGGACTTTCCCGTTAATTTATTGGACCGAAGCGCTCAGTCTCAGGTTGACATGTCGGCTTCTTATGCAGATGTTTCGATGATGTCTGGGGATTTAACCTAAAGTAATTTGGCGGATGGTGACTAACAGTGGAATCCAGGACAACGTGCATTTCATCCAATTTGGATCTCATCATCTAGATGGACCTGCAAAAGATGTGGTTATCGTAGCCCAAGTGGTCTAGTGGCGCTTTAGGGATTCATACTATGAGTGCTGGGTTCGAGCCTCGGTGGGGTGGGACATCATCACTCACTGCTGAATACAGTTACATCCACTAACTGACGAGTCCCAAACGGGACGAAATGCGCATCCTGGATTCCACTGCTTGTCACCATCTACCATTTAACTTCGAATTACATGCGCAGACATTATCGAAGCATCTGCACAAGAAGCCGACATGTCAACCCTTGGACCGAGCTTTTCGGTCCAATCAATCGACGGGGAAATCTCAAATTGAATTAAAGAATGAAGTCTCTTTGAAACATTTTAAACTTAATTCATTCGTCTTCCACTTAAACTAAACTTAATCAAACAAGGAAAATTTCTTCTTCAGTATCCTAATTATTTGTGACAGATGTCGAGAGTTGTAAATGACTTGGAAGGGAAGTTAGAAAAATGAAAATATAATAGAAACACCTTAATATTCCTATGACATCTAATCTTCCTATATTAAGTTGTAAATTTAATGGTTTAATCATAAAGTCTTTAACTGAATCAATTATTCAAAGCCACCTCTTTGAATAAAACTGAATTGTCTCAGGTCTACAAATACGCCATGGTTATGAGCGCCAACAATCACGAAACCTACGTTTGGAAGATCTTGACGACTAAGTTCTAACATGCTTCTGTATTGAATAAGTTTATCTGATATAACATATATTGATACACTATAAGTAACTAGATGACGTTTTGAGTACATTTAAGTACTCATAATCATATCAATGTATTCCTAGGTTTTCATAGGTTGATATATAAACCTTCATTCAGTCCTGTTGTTTATTTCAGTTTCATATATGCTCAGGAGATGTGTTGCTTTATTTCGATCGAACATTTCTTTTGTTGATTCGGTGAAAAGTGATTCAATGACTAACCACTCTTTCCACCTACCTAAATTTATTTTAATTACTTTTGCTCTCTTCTATTCTTTTTTGTGATTATATGCAAGTGAATGCCTTGCGATATCCAGGCTTTTTTACATTATTCTTATTATCATAGTCATCATCACTGTTGCCTTGAGTTTCGAAAAGACCATAGGGCTTCAACAGCATATTTCTACTTCGTCCTAATCTCTACGGTCCTCTTCAGCTAGCGTTATGATTGCCTAAAGTTCCTTATCTTGTCCTCGCACAATCTCCCCCGTGTAACTCTTGCATACCCCACTCGTCGTTTCCCATTCAGGTTTCACTCGAAAGATGGCTCGCATTGAGCGCTATGTCATTTGACGATCTCCCCAACGTGTATTCTATCCATCTCCATTTTCTCTGTTATATTTGTTGAGCAACAGGTTCTTGTTCTCGATTATTAAGATGTGCCTATCATATTAATATTATTGTTTCCTTTAATTCCTAGAGGAACATAGGGCTTCAGCCGTGCGTCTCCATTGCGTTCGGTTCTCTGCTAGAGTCTTCACCTGACTCCAAGTCTGCTCACACGTTTTCATCTCCTCTTCACATGACCTCCTCCAAGTCACCCTTGCACTGACGACCAACTCGCCGCTTCCCTTTCGGGTTCCACTCGAGCGATGGCTTGTCTAGTGATGTCACTTGATGGTTTCCTCAGAGTATGACCAGCCAATCCATCTCTATTTCTTCCTGCCTATTTGTTTCACAATCGGTTCCTGCTGAGTTGGTTCGCTCCCAAAGATCCCTGTTGCTGATCTTTTCTGGCCGGCCATCTGATCTTGAGTGGTATTGAGCGAAGACAACTGTTAATGAAGGTCTGTAGTTTGTTTGAGATGCCTTTTATGACGCGCCAAGTCTCTGATCCGTATAGTAGCACTGACTTCACATTGGAGTTGAAAATCCGGATCTTATTTTTGATGCTGAGCGTTGTTGACGTCCACACAGACTTGAGAGTAATGAAAGCTTGTCTTGCTTTTCCGATTCTTGCTTTGATATCCTCGTCAGTTCCACCTGTAATTGAAACGATGCTTCCCAGGTAGGTAAAGGAGGTTGTTTCTTTCAGGTTCCTCCCATTTATGCTGATTGTTGTCTGTTGTTGATGTTGCTGTTGGTGGTGTTGGCCAGGACCTCTGTTTTTTCTATGTTCACCTGAAGTCCTATCTTCTCCGGATGCTTTTTCTGCTAACTTGTTGCTTTTCGCTTGCATATCTTACAGTTTTTAGGAAATCAGACATATATTATCGGCGAAGTCTAGATCCTCCAGGTTTTTTGTGTGAGTCCATTTTATGCCTGTTTTCTCATTGCCAGCTGTTTGTCGCAATATCCAATCTACTGCAATCAGGAAAATCATTGGTGATAGTAGGCAGCCTTGTCTTACTCCTGTCTTCACTTCGAAGGATTCCGTAAGTTTCCCGTGCCTATCATGTACCAAGCATTTTCCTATAACAGAGAACACTATTCTAAATATGAGCTGAACTCAGTTTTCAGTTATAAAACTTTGTGGTGAAGTGTAGCAATTCAAATTGCCACACCTCCTAGAAACTCACATTAGAAATTCAAAGAAACTGCAAATGAAAATTTAAATAATAATGGAAATGTAATGAATCTGGGAAGTCACAAAGAGTAAGTAGGTTTTCTCCCTTAAGCCATTTCACGAGTGATCTATACTCACTCGTTCCTACAGTCTTGACTACCTCATCCAGGCAGTCTACATCTCTCTACTTAGCTCAAGCTACCAGTCAAATACCTCATAAATTTATGTCATATTCATGTTACGATACTCCTAGTTCTTTTTCAAACAAATCAAACGTCATCTAATATCGCTCTTCAGGAAAGGTGATATGTCGAAGTACTTTACACACATCCTAGCCATCTCAGTCGATACGAATTCAAAACCTTATCGACTGACTTTTTTTTCTTCTTTGCATAACACTCTACATCTAACCTCATTGTTATTGATAATACTATGCCACTTAACACGAGAAAGCGAATACACGTATCTGTTGTTAAACACTTCTGTCCACTTCATATCTCCCACTTGCAGTGGCCACGTCTCACAGGCATAATGAAGGGCCAGGTGGCTTGTTGCGCAATACACATGTCATTTACAATTAGCCAGAGACTAACAGAGATTACCATATTTACGAGATATTTCCAATGAATACATGGATGTATCGATAAAAATTGTTTTTTGTTTCGCTAGTAGAGACTGGTATTGGGACTCGTCAGCTGGAAGTGTCTGCATTTAGAGTGAGTTGTGTTGTTCTGGCTGAAACTTGAACCCTACACCTGTTGTTTCAAACTTCTCTATAAGGAGTAAGCCAACATGTCAGCAGAGACTGAGGATTTTGGTCCAACATAGTCAATCAACGGAGAATACAAAATAGGCCTTATTGAAAGGTATTGCTAACAGAATCTTAAAGACATAGTAGAGACGTCACTTTCATCCAATCCACTGAAGTATCTCAAGTGCACTTACATGTACAACAGTAATCACCTGATACATATCTCCATTAAATGGGTCAATGTCGAAGTACAAAGCAGTAAAAGAAACTAAGTAATTTACATAATTATTTGTCTAATATGAAGACTGCTAATAATTTGTCTTCCATAATACATCTCTACCCTATCATACTACTAATTACTAGTCGTCAAATTGGAATTTTTAAAAAGGATGTATGTATAATGTTATGTATGTAATATGCGTTAATGATTGGTCAAATATAACTGAAATAAACTACCATTGTAGTAGTAAACGGTAGGCGAACAATTCGTCACTTTTCATCACCCATAAAATCACATCCTATTTTGAACAAACAACGATAACAGAATAAAGTAAAATAGGCGAATAAAGTACAGTAAAACACAGTACAGTACAGTTAAAGTGACATATACACAATAACCTCTCTCACTTCTACTCTCTGACTACCTCCCTCACTCTCATCCTCACTCTCGTATACTCTCTCACTGATTATTATTTTATATGAATTATAAACATTAAATGCTAAGTAATATTGTAAATTCTAATAAATTCTACATCAGACGTTTGTGCTATTATTATAATATTCAGTCGAATTTTATGTCATCAATAGTATCATTATTATTGCAAATCCATTGAACATTTAACGCATATTTTTAATGTATAATACATAATTCTCGCTTTAATGCAATTCAGTGGATTCAATCAATTATTTAATGCTATTTCATATTGGAATTTACATCACTGGCGAAATATCATCATCATTTTCTTGGTCAATTTAACATCAGTCTTCAATGGTGTAGTGAGTTTAGGTACAGGATATAATGTAGCTGTGAAGTATAATCGCCCATATTCTAGATGGGTAAGTTATTCAAATTCAATGTTTTTAAAAATTATCTTGCCTCATTTATCTGTAATGCGTGCATCGATGGCAGAGTGGTAGAATGCTCGCCAAACACATATGTGGTCTGTTCCACGGCTGACTCACTCCTCTGCCTTGCTAAGCCGATAATAAGACTGGTAAACATGGAAGGTCGGGCATGAGGTTAGCAACCTCATCACATAAAAATAAACATCACTTCTGCCGAAACTTCAAGTCTGTGGCTTGAAGCCTTATGTTCCATTGAGAACGTAAAGGAATAAAAAAATCTATCTATAATGGAAAAATGAAACAGTCAGTTGTTTTTACTGCTTGTCAAGAAGTCTGTTCAGAGAAGTACATCTTGATTCAAGCATTTTGTACACTGACAGAACTAGTCGTTTGTGTTCAAAAGCAGTTCTACAACTCAGCATTAATGTTACAGTTTTATTAGAGGCATAACTAATAACAGGCATAGTAAGGCCCAATTAAAATTTCACTGAGAAGTCTATGACTATGATCATTTTATAGGATGCTTCCATTTAGATGGTAAAGGGAGCTTTTGTTTAGTACATAGTGTTCTGGGATATTCAAACAGGGGGATTTTATGTTTCATTTTTTATCAGCTTTCATTTTCATTTAATATGCTTGTTACTTATCTGAAGGTGCAATATGAGTAGCAATATTGACCCTCAGGATCTGACAACTAATCAATCACCGCATAGTGAGTAATATATTGCTTTATCCAGTCATAATTGTTTACGGAATTGTGGGAATATATCTTGTAATTTGATTCCTGAAATAAATGGCATAGCGATAATAAATGATATAGCATCCAACATCTAATATTCTTCTTATCCATCAGAAGACTTAAGAAAATTTGGTCAAGAAAATTTTCTTTTCGGTAATTTCCTCTTCTGGCTATATATGTACACACACCCAGTGGGTGCGTACTGCCGACGATTCATAAATTAAGATGAAAGAGTTGTTCAATACTCCGGTGCAGGTTTTCAATGGCTCTCTAACTGATATCAATTCTTGGTCTAACTCAGGAAACAAATCAAATCCTTACAAATCAGCTCTTGAAATATATATAAGATGGAGAAGATTTATAGCTTCTCAGGTGGATGATTTTGATGTATACTTGTGTTCTTTGACCTGGATGGTAGGGCAATGAAAGCTTCGCAAATAAACCATCCAGCTCGGAGAACTTAACTACATCAAAATATTTATCCATACAGATTATTCTAGAATAATCTTCACCAGCAATATTGAAAAGAATATTCTTTAATCAAAAATTTCATTTGTCTTCTAATTGTTTGAATCAATACTTTCGCTACATCAAAGGACTACTACTGTCTTGAATATTTCGACCTTTCAGTTAACTCAGTAGTGCAGTCATTAAAATCATCATTCAGCTGTTATTAGAGAGTACTTTTGAAATAAATTTGCTGGAGTTCCAATGATAAGATACTAACGGTGGTGTTCAGAAAATCAAATACGAGGGTAAATGCTGTTGGATAAGCTCATTGAAAGTAGCGGATCAGAATCTGTGCCCAAGTTTAACAATATGTTGCTAAATGATTTGAAAGACATGACCCTCTTTGGAGCAGTTATTATTGTTCACTAGATAATATTTTGAAGGCTGAGCTTTTTCATGATTTCTTCAGTATATCTAATCTGAGACTTAGGGAAGTCCTTCATCTGATTTGACCCTGTTAATGTTAGACTGCGCTGCAAAATTCTTTGTAGAGTAATAATAGCTTTATTTTGTACAGCTTTTATATTTTGTACAAAATGTTCACCATAGTTTATCGCACGATATTCTCTCTTCATCCCAGACCTTCAAAAAAATGTCACGTGACAGTAGACATTGTGAAGCACTTCTGCCTGACGTGAAGCAAAAATCAAAGAAATCAATTCTCTTCGGCCGGCGCACTCCTTTACCTCGCTAAACCACTAATAATGTCGGTAAAGAGGAAAGGTTTGGCATGAGGCTAGCAACCTCATCTTGTAAAAATAAAACACCACTGCTACAGAAAATTCAGGCCTCTAGCTTGAAGCCCTATGTTCCACTGGGAATAAAAAAAAATGCACGTAATTTGGTTGAATGAAAATTAGAAAAGGTTCAGGAATCCATTCTGTGAACCCAAGGACACAACTCATGAGCAGCTATCTCCTGCATTGTAATACGCACCGACCCACTGTTATATTTTTTCTCACGATAACTAGAAACTTTCGAATAAGCAAGTTATAAACACACTACATACTCGCCGTAGTATAAGATATAATTAAAGGTTATATTTTATCGGATTTTTACAAAGTGAACAAGAGAAAGTATCTCTATAGATTTTTCCGTATTCGAAATTTAAGCAGGCCTCCTGTATTGAATCTTAGTTACAAGCTACGGGGTAAAATGACTCAAAGTGTTGATCACTTCACTTATTTAGGAAGATGCATCAGCGATATCTGACGAACTGCTGAAAAAACATTCCAACAGGGATGTAGAAGGTCAGTTGGGCTTTTATCAAATTGTGTCATCTTTAGTGTAGGTGATATAACTGGTTATTCAGCAAAGAACATGTGAACTATGAAGCACTTCGTCCTATCATTCTTTATAGCTGTGAGACTTGGCTACTGAAAGTGGAAGAAATGAAGATACTAGCAGTCTTTGACCAAATGCGTCTGTCTAGAATTTTATTTGTTAGGTGACAAAGTATAGTCAGTAGTAATGAGGTCAGGAGTAAAGTGTTGTACCATTAGAGGAAATAAATCGATTAGGTTGGGAAGTTGTGCCAACAGAGGTGGCTAGAACTTGTGCTACTCAAGCTGAGATACAACCTTCCTTGGCGAGTATTGTTATCTGATATGAGATTAGGCTGGAAGAGATTTCTAGCTGGTCAGACTAAAACGTGACACCAATCCATTAGGTATTTGACTGATAGTTTGAGACACTAAGGAAAGTGTGGATTACATGGCTAGGATTAACATTATACCATGAACCAAATGTTGGGGGTTTTTATTGACATGGCTCCGACGTATCCACTGATTCTTATCATCTCCTTTCTAGAAATTTCTGACTAATTCCCATCAACTTTAGTGTTTCTCCTGTATATCACTGCTGGGTGAAGATTCATTACAGTTGCGTTCTCTACTTCTGTTTGTGCTTCTTTGAAGTTTGACAACTTAAAATGCTAATCTTTTGTTCAAAACTATGCGTTGATACATCACCTATTACTCTAATTACCACTAAGTTTTATATTTGAAATTTTGTTTCCAAAGTTTAGATTAAAATTTTCAGAAAAATTAGCTACTCTGCAATGGATTTACATTCTGTCTTTCTAAATTAGCTTGTCATCAAAAGCTCTACATTTGAATGTCTAATCTTTTTCTCAGTAATTTATCGAAAGTATATCAATTAAGTGGTAACTGGTTAGTTTTTTTATTCCTTCACGTTCCCAGTGGAACATAGGGCTTCAAACTAGAGGCTAGAAGTTACAGTAGCAGTGGTGTTAATTTTTACAGCATGGTGTTGCTAGCTCATGCTAGCCAGGTACAGGAGTGCGTTGGCCGAAAATCGAACCCTGTACCATGTGCATGGTCAGCGAGCGTCCTAACCGCTATGCTACCAACGCACTGGTAACTGGCTAGTGAATAATAATAATTCAATAATTTGAGGGTACAGAATCAAAAAACCTTATCACAGATATCAGTATAAAAATTGAAGGTTGAAATAATCTAGTTTGCTCGTACATTTAGTTTGTGGTAGTCACAAAATAGTAAATTAATTTTGACACAATGACTTTGTCAAGTTTTCAATGTCACTTCCCACATGCGTTTATTCAATCAGTATCAGTCGACAAATCCACAGATACACAACAATCTAACCAAACTGAAATTATGTCCTAACACAGTCGTTTTAGATTCTACTATTACGTCATTTAAATTACGGATGCTGAGAAAAATTTGTAAACATTCCATATGAAAATTTCAACTGAGTTGTTCTGCAATTAGCTGCTTGACCCTTTCATTCCCTCCTTAGCGTCCAGACTGGAACATAAAGCTTCAGCTTTTGAAATCGCAGTCGCGGTGGTTTTGTTCTGACTGCCCAATCTCCCTGTTTTCTGTATTCACGACCGGCTAACTGAGGCTTAGCAATGCATCAACCGACAGTCGAAATATGACCAAAGGCAAGCATTCTAATATTGAATCACAATCTCAATGTCAGGGACACCCGATATTTCCAGACTGTCTCCTATGCAAATATTCACTGAGCTCAACGCTGTTTAACTTCAGTGATCGGATGAGAACTGGTGTTTTTTCAAACTGGTGTGGTCTCTAGATTAGGCTGTTTGTTTACATGTCACAGACACCTAGACAGAAGGTCTCTGCAACTGCAGAAATAATGACAGAGAAGAACTCAATTTTATTTTTCTAAAACAGATTTATTTGTCTTTTTTATTTACGTACATGAAACAAATCGCTTCATTACTAAATTCTGTTAAGAAATGAAGCGTACAGTATTCACTGAAGCCGTTTTACGTTTCAGAGTAAAATGGTGTAATTTTTACCAAATTAAGCTTTGCGTTTGAACACTGTGTTAGTCTGCGATTCCATTTTGATTCTTTTGTCACACTACTCATACACTAAAATAGTATTTTCTATTGAATGGCATTTTGAACACGGGCTTTTGTTCACAATCACATCACTTATATATCTTTGAAACTTGGCTTTTATATACATGTGAAATTTGAGCACTATGGTAGTATGTAATTCCATATTAACTTGTTTATTGAACATCTGACACAATGAAGCGGTATCATTCACTGGATGACAAAGTTTCTAACACAATTCATTGTTCATAGTAATATCGATTGTAAATGTAGAACTTCAAAACTCGACTTTGACAGCTCTCTTTCTTCCTTTCTATTAGTCATAAGGGTAGTGAAGTATTCTAGATGTCCTGCATAGGTGATAGGTCATTCCTGTTGCATGTGTTCTCA